TCAGCCTCCTGAGTAGATTACAGATGTGAGCCACCAGTTCCAGGCTTATTAAAGATTTTTTTACAAAATGGATCAAATGGAATTTAATTCTAGAAATGCATGGTTGTTTTGACACTCAAATACTGATTGATGGAAAGGAAAGAAATGTACATATCATCCAATTTGGAAAAAAATAGTTGTATTGTCAAAGTTTGTAGAGTTCATAAGCTTTAGAGATCATGATCATGACAATTCACCTTGTGCAGGTTAGAATGTGTTTGACTTTGGCTAAGTATCACTATTCCACAATACTATGAAATTTACATGATCACTTAATCACAATAAAGAAATTTTTAAAAAAAAGAACTTGGGAGAGAAGGAATGATATTGTCCAAAAAGAAATGTATACTTTAGTGGCTGGGAAGGTGGCTCAGTGGTAGAGCGCTTGCCTTGCATGCATGAGGCCCTGGGTTCGATTCCTCAGCACCACATATGCAAAAAGAAAAAAGCCAGAAGTGGCACTGTAGCTCAAGTGGTAGAGTGCTAGCCTTGAGCTGAAGAGCTGAGGGACAGCGCCCAGGCCCAGAGTTCAGGCACCACGACTGGACCCAAAAAAAAAAAGAAATGTACACTTTACCTGAATTATGTAACTGTAACTAACTCCTCTGTACATCACCTTTATAGTAACAATTAGGTTTTTTTAATTTAAAAAATAAATTTAGGGGCTGGGAAGGTGGCTCAGTGGTAGAGCGCTTGCCTTGCATGCATGAGGCCCTGGGTTCGATTCCTCAGCACCACATAAGCAGAAAAAATTAAAAAAAGCCCGAAGTGTGCTGTGGCTCAAGTGGTAGAGTGCTAACCTTGAGCTGAAGAGCTGAGGGACAGCACATAGGCCCAGAGTTCAGGCCCCACGACCAGACCCCCCCCCAAAATATAAATAAATAAATAAATTTACAAAAAAAGGAAAAAAAGTCAATTGATGAAATTCACATTACAGAACAAAGGAGGAAAATTCTAAGAATTCAGTGGATATAGAAAAAAGTATTAGACAAAATTCAAACTCACTCAATGATAGGCTCCCACAAAATAGGAATAAAAAGACCATATCTCCATCTGATAAAAGTCTTTTACCTAAAAGCTACAATTAACAGCATGCTTCCTGAAAAAGTAATGAATAGTTATCCTCTCATATTGAAAAAATAAAAAAAGGATTCTCCCTACTTTTACTCAACATGTCCTAGTTAGTACAATAAGAAAAGAAAAAGTGGGGCAAGAAAAAGTGGTAAAGTGCTTGCCTAGCATGCCTAGCATGCATGAGGCCCTAGGTTCGATTCCTTGGTACCACATAAGATTAAAAGAAAAAGAAAAAGAATCATTAAAAAAAAGTTTAAAAAAGGAAAAGAAAAGAAAAGAAAAAGTGGGTTGGGGAGGTGACTCAGTGGTAGAGTGTTTGCCTTACACTCATGAGGCCCTGGGTTTGATTCCTTAAAACCACATAAACAGAAAAAGCTGGAAGTGGCACTGTGGCTTGAGCTGAAAAGGTGAAGGGCAGTGCCCAGGCCCAGAGTTCAGCCCCCATGACTGAAGGGAAAAAAAAAAAAAAGAAAAGAAAACAAGAAGTAACAAAAGGCACAAACACTAAGACTCTTTGTGCAGATGTTATGGTGGCCTAACCAGGTTCTCATCCCTTATCCAAAAGGCTTGGAATATGAGAGATTTACAGATTTTGTTTGCTCTATTTGCATACACGATGCTAGCTGAACATCCTTAGTCACAAACACTGAGATGTTTTAAATTCTGAAAGTTTTAGTATAGTGTAAGTGCTTCAGGAGTTTTGAATTCTGGAATATTTTGAATTTTGGATTAGGGATGCTCAACTTGTATAGTAAATCAATATGTAATATACATAAGAAGCAGGGGAGGAAGAAAAATAAGGTGAAGAAGAGGATGAAAGAAGGGAGGAAGGGGACAGAGTAGAAAGGAAGAATGCATGTAAAGAAGGAAGGAAGGAGGGAAAGAAACCCTACTACAACCTATAAATGAATTTAGCAAGGTCTCACGATACAAGACCAATACAGAAAACAAATTTTACTTTTGCACACTTGCAACAAACAATTGGAAGGTGTGATCAAAAAAGCAATGCCATCTGAGGATTGAGGTTTGAATCCTGCTCAGGCAGGAAAGCCCATGAGATTCATCTCCAATTAAGCACCCAAAAAGCTAGAAGTGGAGCTTGGCTCAAGTGGTGGAGTGCTAGCCTTCAGCACAAATCTCAGGGAAAGCACCCAGGCTTTGAGTTCAAGCTCTAGGACTGGCACCAAAAAAAGCCATTTTCAATAGAATAGAAAATACATAGGAATTAATTTAGCAAACTGTGTATAAGATTGCTATATTGCACACAATAAAATATGAGAATTTCAAGATCTAAGAGAAATTTAAGATCTAAATAGGGTTTATATCAGGCTTTTAGATTGGAAGACTCAATATTGTTAGGATATCCATTCTCTTCTAATTGATATAAAGATTTAAAACAATTCCTATCAAATTCTAAAAGGCATTTTGGCAGAAATTGACCATCTTTGATACTGGTGTAAGAATGGACAAATATAGAAATAGAACAGGTATGGACAGACTTATAGCTATGGAACCACTCAATTTCTTTGAAAGAGAGTAGTTACTACAGCTAACAGTGAGTCTGTTAGAAAGGTATAATTTGTGTACTCAGCTATTAATTCTAATCAAACTTTTTTTGAGAATAAAAGGTACTACAATATTGTGATAGATTATGTTTTGTTTGTGGTTTTGTATTTAGTACATACAAAACCAGCTATAAGAACCAGTTTTAGTACATACCAAGACCAGCTTACTTGGTCTGGTAAAACACTACATAGACAAATTTTATTAATTTTGAGCCTTTTTTTTTTTTTCTGGGCTTGGACGCTGTCCCTCAGCTCTTCAGCTCAAGGCAAGCACTCTACCACTTGAGCTACAGCGCCACTTCCGGTTTTCTGGTGGTTTATTGGAGATAGGAGTCTCACAGTCTCTCCTGCCCGGGCTGGCTTTGAACCGCGATCCTCAGATTTCAGCCTCCTGAGTAGCTAGGATTACAGGCATGAGCCACCAGCGCCCGGCTTAATTTTGAGAGAGAGGAAAAATCAAGAAGTTAATTTAAACACAGTCCTTAGAAGTTCATATGTCAGCTGAGGATAGAGCCAAGTGCAACAGCAATTGCCTAGCCAATAGGTGTGACATGCTAGGTTCATTCACCAGCATCCAGGTATTTGGGAATGGAGACTTTGGAAGGTAGTTAGGATTAAAGGAAGTAATGAGGGTAGAACATTCGTGATGGCATTAATGGTTTTATTAGCAATGGAAGTGAGACTTAAACTAGCATATGAAGTACTTCACCATGTTTTTTTTTATTTATTTCATTTATTTATCTATTTGCCAATCCTGGGCCTTGAACTCAGGGCCTGGGCACTGTCCCTGAGATTCTTTTGCTCAAGGCTAGCACTCTACCACTTGAGCCACAGTGGCTCTTCCGGCTTTTTCTGTTTATGTGGTACTGAGGAATTGAACCTAGGCTTCATGCATACCAGGCAAGCACTCTACCACTAAACTATATTCTTATCCCCTTTGCCTTGTTTATATGCAGCAGGAGGCCTCCCCAGAACTAAGCAGATGCTTGGGCTTAAGTCTAGCTTCTAGAACTGTGAGCTGAATAAACATTTCTTCTTTATAAACTATCTAGTTTGTGTTATTCTTAGCAACAGAAAAATGGACAAGACAGATAGTAAAATCCTTTTTTGGAGCCAGGTGAAAGTGGCTCATGCTTGTAATCCTAGCTACTCAGGAGGCTGAGATCTAAGGACTGTGGTTCAAAGCTAGCAAGGCCAGGAGAGTCCTGGAAACTCTTACCTCCAATTAACCACCAGAAAACCAGAAGTGGCCCTATGGCTCAAGCAGTAGAATGCTAGCCTTGAGCAAAAGAGCTCTGGGAACAGCGCCCAGGTCCTGAATTCAAGCCCCATGACCAACAACAAATAATAAACAAACAAAAAGAATTTACGTCAGAGCCGGGCGCTGGTGGCTCACGCCTGTAATCCTAGCTACTCAGGAGGCTGAGATCTGAGGATCGCGGTTCAAAGCCAGTCCGGGCAGGAAAGACCGTGAGACTCCTATCTCCAATAAACCACTAGAAAACCGGAAGTGGCGCTGTAGCTCAAGTGGTAGAGCGCTTGCCTTGAGCTGAAGAGCTGAGGGACAGCGCCCAGACCCAGAGTTCAAGCCCCATGACCGACAAAAAAAAAGGAATTTACGTCAGGCTGGCATAGTGGCTTACACATGTTTACATATGATGAGGTGAAGATCAAGATTGCAGTTCAAGGCCAGCTCAGGAAAAATCTTTGTGACAACATCTCAGTAGAAAAGCTAGGCAGAGTGGTATGTGCCTATCATTCCAGCTATCTATATGAGAGGGATAAGCAAAAGGATCAAAATCTAGGCTGAACAAAAAAAGGAAGACCTTTACCTAAAAAATAACTAAAGCAAAAAGGAGTGAGTATTGGCAGAAGTGGTGGAGGATTTCCTTAGCAAGCATGAAGCTCTGAGTTCAAACTCCAATATCAAAACATAACAAAACAAAACTCACACTGGAAAGCTTGAGCATTCTAGGAGACAGCTAACTGTGACTCTCAGAGGTCAGTATAAGTATAGTGTATATCATGTGGCAGGATACGTTACCCACTCAGTAATTATGGCAAGTAAAGAAGCAGGCAGAGAGGAGATGACTTTATAATTCCAAATCAAAGAATCTCAACAACAGAGTTCTTAGGCAAGAGAAGAAAACAGACACTATTTTGTTGATGAAACAAAAAAGCTGTATGATATTAATTCAGATTGGATGGATGAATGGCTATCACAACAGTTATAGTTACATTTTTGTTGTGCATAAAATAAAAAGGGGAGAGTTATCAGTTTGTATTTTCAAGATTTAAAAGAAAAAAGATTTAAAACACTACCAGAAAAAAAAATCAGTTCCTCTTCAAATTCCTCTCCTCACAATGGTCATCTCCACCCTAAAATTAGAAACCAAGCTAGTAAGAACCAGGGAGAAGAATTTAAACAAACACTTCTAAAACCATGGAGTTTATTAATGTTAAATTACATGTAATCTATTAAATGATAAACATGCTGGTCAAGCCAAAAGTTTTGCTTCAACACTTCATTCAATTTGTACCTTTCAAACAATCATCATTCTGCTGCTCCAGAATGTTCAGTGTGGAACCAAACCAATAGTTCATGCTTATCAACTTTTTTTTTTTGCTTATGTGGTGCTGAGGAATCGAACCCAGGGCCTCAGGCATGCAAGGCAAGCGCTCTACCACTGAGCCAACTTCCCAGCCCTCAACTTTTTTTTTTTAATGCCAGTCCTGGGTCTTGAACTCAGGGCCTGAATCTTGTCCCTGAGCTCTTTTGCTCAAAGCTGGTACTCTACCACTTGAGCCACAGCTCCACTTCCAGCTTTTTTTTGGTTGTTAACTGGAGATAAGAGTCTCATAGACCTTATTTCCCTGGGCTGGCTTTGAACCATGATCCTCAGATCTCAGCCTCCTGAGTAGCTAGGATTATAGGCTTGAGCCACCAGCACCTGGGTTATTCTTGTTTGCCAGGAATGTTTAGTGCTCCCAGACATTGGGATCTTCCTTTATTATATCTTTAGAAAACCTTTCCTCCTGTAAATTGTAAAGCTCTGAACAAACCTAAGAATAAACATTAAGCATGACTGAAACAACAGAGGATCAAATAAAATTATATGACTTAATGTAAACTGCAGTTTTATTAGGATATATCAGTCAGGCAGTTTTTATAAATTAGTGCTCAAATTAAGAAAACATGAATAATTAAAGATTATAAGTTCTAAAACAAATTTAGGTGATTATACACATAACTATATAGGATTTGCAATACATCTGATTCTCTAAGTCAGCATTTCTGTGTACGTAACATTAATAAAGAGGATCTTTTTAAGGCCATACAGTGATTCTGGGATTCCCTGAATTTTCAGCTGCTGCATTTTCTACTCTACATCTTGCAGGTTCCTCTTCCTTTCAGTTTGTGCATTTCCTGTATTCTAAAAAGTAAATAGAAACAGGACCTTAATTGAGGAAATATTGAGTCTTTGGCTAAGGAAATACAGGCAGAGATAAAATACCTGTACTTTGCACCTGGGGATTATTTTGTAAGGTAGAAGGAAACTACTTAGCAAAAACAAACTAAAAGTGGACTTTGTTATATACTCTCTTCTTTCTTGCCTGTTATACATTCACAGTAATTTAGGATTTCTCCTAGTCATGAAAGTTGTCTGCACAATTTCTATGTACATACTTAAGATATATAAAGAGTTGAATGTTCATCTAGAAAAATACTTGGATCTACTTAAAGTAATTGTAAAAACAAGCCAATGGCCGAGCTAACAACAGAAGAATAAGTTGTTATTCCCTATCATGTTTGATGTTTTGGCTAGTTCCAAACATCAATTCTTAGTTTTTAACCTCCTAAGTAGCTGGGATTTTAGCTATGAGCCACTAGTGCCTGGCATTTTGTTTTGTTGTTGTTGTTTTCTGTCTTGGTCCTGGAGCTTGAACTTAGGGACTGAGTGCTGTCCGTGAGCTTTTTTGCTCAAGCTTAGTGCTCTATAATTTAAACCATACCTACACTTCTGGTTTTCTGGTGTTTAATTGGAGTTAAGAGTCTTCAGAGTTTCCTGCCCAAGCTGGCTTTGAGCTGCAGTACTCAGATCTCAGCCTCCTTGAGTAGCTAGGATTACAGGTGAGAACTACCAGCGCTCAGCTTCTGCTAATTTTGGAGATAATGGTTTTGGTTTTTGCCTAGGCAAGCCTGGACTATGCTTTCTTATTTATGGTTCCTGTCATAGGTGAGATAGCAAGCATATACCATCACATCCAGCATTCTCTGCTGAAAAGGGGCCTAGTAAACTTTCTGTCTGGACTCTGGGCTGATCTAGAAACTTGATCCTCCCAAAGTAACTCAGATTATGAATCACCTTTTGCGTGCATATGTGTGTATGCATACTTGGGGCTGGTTGTTGTCTCTGAGCTGTGTATGTGTGTGTGTGTGTGTGTGTGTATGTGTGTGTGTGTGTGTGTGTTGATCGTAGGGCTTGAACTCTAGACCTTGGTGCTGTCCCTCAGCTCTTTAGCTCAAGAATAGTGCTCTACCACTTGAGCCACAGTGCCACATCTGGTTTTCTGAGTGGTTTATTGGAGATAAGAGTCTCACTAACTTTCCTGCATGGGATGGCTTTGAACGTGATCCTCATATCTCAGCCTCCTGAGTAGCAAGGATTACAGGCGTTACCCACCGGTGCCTGGCCTGGCACTGTTTCTCAGCTCTTCAGCTCAAGTCTAGCATGCTACCACTTGAGCCACAGCGCCACTTCTGGCTTTTTTTTTTCTGCTTATGTGGTGCTGAGGAATCGAACCCAGGGTCTCATGCATGCAAGGCAAGTGCTCTACCACCTAGCCACCTTCCCAGACCCTACTTCTGGCTTTTTGATGGTTAAGCAGAGATACGAATTTCTTGGACTTTTCCACCCAGACTCACTTTGTACTATGATCCTCAAATCTCAGCCTTCTTAGTAACTAGGATTATTGGTGTGAGCCACCGAAGTCCAACTTTTTTTTTTTTTTTTTTTTTGGTTGTGGGGCCTGAACTCTGGCCTGGGCACTGTCCCTTGAGCCACAGCACCACTTCTGGCTTTTTCTTTTTTTCTGCTTATATGGTAATGAGGAATCGAACGCAGGGCTTCATGCATGGGAGGCAAGCACTCTACCACTGAGCCACCTTCCCAGCCCAATCCAACACTTTTTTTTTTTTTTTTGGTTGTGGGGCTTGAACTCTGGGCCAGGGCGCTGTCCCTCAATTCTTCAGCTCAAGGCTAGCACACTACCCGTTGAGCCACAGCACCACTTCCAGCTTTTTCTGCTTATGTGCTGCTGAGGAATTGAACCCAGTGTCTCATGCGTGTAAGGCAAGCGCTCTACCACTGAGCCACCTTCTCAACCCAGTCCAACCCCTTTTTAAAGTATTTTCAGGACTGGGCAAAGGAGTTTTTCCCTTCCTATTTACTTATCCTAAAAATGATAGAAGGTTTTAAGAATTCTTTTTTTTTTTCAGTGTGTTGGATGACTTAGGTCTATAAACATTTGTTTTTCTTTTGGTGCTAGACTTGGGTCTTAAACTCCGAGTCTGGGTGGTATCTCTTTTGTGCTAGCTCTCTACTACTTGAGCCACGGCTGCACTTTTGACTTTTTGGTGATTAACTACAGATAGAAGTCTCACAGATTTTCCTGCCCATGCTGGCTTTGAGTCACAATCTTCAGATCTCAGCCTCCTGGGTATCTATAGGTGTACTGGATTAAGCCACTGTCACCTGACCCAAAAATAACTTAGAAATTGTTAGCAATTGATTATTTTATGAAAAGTGACACAGTTCTAGAGTTCAAAGATTACAAAGTTTGAAATTTTTACGTAGCTTTTCAATAGTAACAACTAAATTTATAGAGTCAAGGACCTTAAGTAACATTTAGTAAAAGTTATAAACAAAAAAATTTACCTTTTACTTTTCTTGACTTTGATCCATATTAAGTAAGGTTGGTATTTTAGGTGAATCTGTTTTCTTTGACTCCCTCTTGAGCATTTTTATCTGTTTAACTTTTGCAAAAAATATACAAAACGATGAAAATTTGTTATCCTTGTCTTGAAAATTTATTTTCAAGAATTCAAATGGAAATTCTGATGTCCATAAAGTCAGTTTCTTAGTTTTTTCCAAAGAATTAAATAAATTATGAATTGCAATAGTAAAATATGGTAAACATTTGTTTTATAATTTAGAAAGTCATTCAAGTGTTAAAAGACATTTATTTCATTTTTGTTCGGAGTAAAACTGTTAAAGTGGACCAAATAAATTCTCTTCAGTTGTCCAAGTAGTAAATTCTTGCTATGATATCACATTTTCACAAGGTGTCACTATTCTTCAAAGAAAGATAAGAACATTTACTTAGCACAAAAATAAATGGGTCAGCAGGGTGCCATTGGCTCATGCCTATAATCCTAGCTACTAAGCAGGCTGAGATCTGAGGATCATGGTTCAAAGCCAGCCTGGTCAGAAAAGTCCCTGAGACTCTTATTTCCAATAAATTACTGGAAAACCAGAAGTGGAGCTGTGGCTCAAGTGGTAGAGTGATTGCCTTGAGCTGAAGAGCTGAGGGACAGCACCCAGGCCCAAAGTTCAAGCCCCATGACTGACAAAAAAAAGCGGGGAGGGGGCTGGGAAGGTGGCTCAGTGGTAGAGTGCTTGCCTTGCATGCATGAGGCCCTGGGTTCGATTCCTCAGCCACGCCCCAGGACTGGCAAAAAAAAAAAAATCAAAAAAAGGAGGGGGGGGAGTCTCATTCTAATTTAATATTAAGATAAATCTCAAATTTATAAATCTTAACCTACCAAATCCTTGAATTTCTAAAACACATGTAACACCCTTAGTTCAATATAGTGACAAGTAATCACAGAGCAACAGAGGAAATAACGTATTCCAGGTCACTAAATTACTGAGTTAAAACCACTGTCCTCAAATACTGTCCCAAAATTTCAGCATTAAACTAATGAAACTCTACCCTTTTAGGCAGATGTGTATGTAAAACTATCTCCATGAAGATGTATGAGGATGAATTTTAGTGAAAACAGTTTGTTTGCATGTATGAAAATGGAAAAATGAAATTTGCTGAAATTGGGGAAGGGAGAGTGGGATAAAGAGGAAGTAATAGATGGGATTTGGTTGAAGCTGGGTGACAGTGGCTCACACCTGTAATCCTAGCTACTCAGGAGGCTGATAACTGAGGTTGTGGTTCAAAGCCAGCCCAGGCAGGAAAGTCCATGAGACTCTTATCTCTAATAAAAACCACTAGAAAACCAGAAGTGGAGCTGTGGCTCAAGCAGCTTACCTTGAGCTGAAGAGCGCAGGGATAGCGCCCAAGCCCAGAGTTCAAGCCCCACAACCGACCAAAAAAAAAAAAAAAAAGATGGGATTTGGTTGATTTGGTTAATTGTATGCACGAATGGAAATATCACAAAGGAACCCATCTTGTACAACTAATGTATGCTAGTGAAAAATATAATAAAGCTGGATACCAATGGCTCACATCTAGCTACTCAGATGGCTAAGATCTAATAACTGTGGTTAGCCCAGGGAAATAAACCTTTGAGATTCTTATTTACAATTAACTAGCTAAAAGGTGGACTGAACAGGTACTAGTGACTAATGCCTGTAATCCTAGCGACTCAGAAGGCTGAGGTTCAAGTTTGATGACAGCTGGGACCAACAAATCCAAGAGACTTAAGTTAACCAGTAAAAGCAGGAAGTGGAGGTGTGTCTCAAGTGACAGAGCAGCTTGAGGTCCTAAGTTCAAGCCTCTGTATTGGCACAAAAATGGACTGGAGGTGTGGCTCAAGTGGTAGAGTTGAAATGTTGATGGAGAGTACAAGGCTCTGAGTTTAGGCTCCAGTAATGGCACCGCACTCACACACTCTCTTTCTCACACACACATACACACTTATGAAATAAAATGATTGGGGCTGGGAAGGTGGCTCAGTGGTAGAGCGCTTGCCTTGCATGCCTGAGGCCCTGGGTTCAATTCCTCAGCACCACATAAGCAAAAAAGAAAAGAGCCAGAAGTGGCACTGTGGCTCAAGTGGTAGAGCACTAGCCTTGAGCTGAAGAGCTGAGGGACAGCAACCAGGCCCAGAGTTGAGGCCCTACGACCGGAACCCCCCCAAAAAAAGAAATAAAATGATCTACATTAAGTAACACATAGAAATTTACTATTTTCTCAGCAATTTACTACTTTTCTACCCGAATCACACTATAAAATTAAAACTATACCACAAAAAGTTCTGTAAATGATATTATTTATAAAGAAATTTGTAAAGTCATACAATAAATATGTACCTTTCACGTCCTTTGGCTGTATTAATGGCAATTCAGGGAAATGGAATTCCTTCCTGTCACATCTGGAAAAATTCAGCTTCCTTTTGTTCCCATTTGCTATTTGGTCATTTTGACCTGTTCGCTCATTAAAAACACCCTTCTCCATTTGGTTCTAAACAAATAGATTTAAAGAAATTGTGTAACTATTTTGTGTAACTATGACAAACTTAGAATTGCTAGTCATTTGGATGTAAAATCGAACAATTATTCTCATAATTAAGAAGTGGATTAAAGCCTGGCACTGATGGTTCGCATCTGTAATCCTAGCTACTCAGGAGGCAGAGATCTGAGGATTTCAGCTTGAAGCCAGCCCATGCAGGATAGTCTGTGAGCTCTTACCTCCAATTAACCATCAGAAAACCAAAGTAGAGTTGTAGCTCAAAGTGGTAGAGGACTAGCCTTGAGCAGAAAAATTTAGGGACAGCACCCAAGCCCTGAGTTCAAGAGTTCAAGCCCCAAGACTGACAAAATGGAGGAGAAGGAGAAGGAGTAGGAGGACGAGGACGAGGAAGTAGATTTAAGTCCAGGCTCTAATTCCAGAACTCGGGAGGCAGAATCAGGAGGACTGTGAATTCGAGGTCAGCCTAAACCACATAGCAAGATTGTCTCTCTCTAAATACATTAATACACACATACATACAAATAAAAAATAGAATACTATTAAATATATATGTAACTTTTTCATTATATGTAATATTCTGAGAATAATAGTTTCAACCTTCAGAACCACAATCTTACTTTTATAATACTATTCATTGTACTTGACCTTGGATTATTTACTTCAGTTGTTTTGTCAAAAATTTACTTTTTGATATATAAAATGATATGTTTTTGGACCCCAGGATTTATTTATTTATTTTTTGGGTCCGGTTGTGGGGCCTGAACTCTGGGCCTGGGCGCTGTCCCTCAGCTCTTCAGCTCAAGGCTAGCGCTCTACCACTTGAGCCACAGCGCCGCTTCCAGCTTTTTTCTTTCTGCTTACGTGGTGCTGAGGAATCGAACCCAGGACCTCAGGCATGCAAGGCAAGCGCTCCACCACTGAGCCACCTTCCCAGCCCATGGACCCCAGGATTTAGACCCCAGGAAAGTTAAAGTAAGCAAAAATATCTTGTGCAGTCATTATGTGGAAACTTTTTTTTGTTGTTGTTTGAATTCAGGGCCTCAGCACTGTCCCTGAGCTTCTTTTGCTCAAGGTTAGTACTCTACCACTTGAGCTACTGCGCCACTTTTGGCTTTTTCTGTTTATTGGGTACTGAGGAATTGAACCCAGGGCTTCATGTAGGCTAGGCAAGCACTCTACCATTAAGCCACATTCCAAGCCCTCTGGAAACTTTTTGTGTTGATTTTTTTTTCTTTTCTTTTTTTCTTGCTGGTCCTGGGATTGAATTTAGGGCTTGGGCACTGTCTTTGAGTTTGTTTTGCACAAGGCAAGCTCTCACCCACTTGAGCCACAGCACTAATGTCCTTTTCTGAATAGTTCACTCCATTGACTTTACTGCTGGGGCAGCTTTGAAAGGTGATCTTCAGATTTGATTCCTGAGTAGCTAGGACTACAGGTCACCAGTCCCTGGCTAATTTTCTTTCTTTTTAATGGTATTGGGCTTTGAACTTAGGCACCTGTATTTGCTAGGCAGGTCACATGCTATATATCAAATTACAATATAGTAAATTAACTAAAACTGAGCCAAATGGAAGAAGGATGCTTTAAAATGTGACCTATTTTCATATCTGAAAGAAAAAAAAAGAGAGCTGGCAATGCAGCTGAGTAGTTGAGCATGTGTTTAGCATATGTAAAGCCCTGGCTTTGGTCAACAGTGCCACAGAGAGAAAGAAACAGAGACAGAGATAAACATGACAGAAATAAGCAGAGCACTGATGGCTCACACCTACAATCCTAGCTACTCAGGAAGCTGAGATCTGAAGATCACCATTCAAAGCCAGCCCAAGCAGGAAAGTCTGTGAGATGCTTATCTCAAATTAACCATTGGAAAACTGGAAGTAGAGCTGTGGCTCAAAGAGGTGGAGTGCTATCCTTGAATGAACAAGCTCAAAGACAGTACCTAGGCCCTGAATTCAAACCCTATGAACAACAACAACAACAAAAAGATACAGAGAGAAAAATTAAAAGCATATATTCCTATTTTTAAATGTTATAGCCCAGAGACAGAGAAAAGGAAAAGGGGTCAATGTTAAAAAAGGCTATTTTTCAATGACTAGCTTCTTGCCTTACTTGAGTTGGAACTGTGTCCTCTTGTCTGGTATTAGATATAACTTGTCCAGTAGTTTGTTTCTTTTTTGCTCTTTCACCTAACCTATTATTTAAAAATAAATAAGAAGTTAATAGAACTCCCCAGAAGTATCTATGTTTTAGCTTGAGGATAAACAGGGCTAGGGATATAGTTCAGAGGTAAATTATTTGTTTAGCATGTACAAAGCCATGGGTTTAATCCTCAGCGCTGTAAAAATAAATAAATAAGTCTAATAATATTTTTCTGCATATGGAGGTTGAGGCAAGAGGACCACAGTTCAAGGCTAGCCTAGGCTACATAGTAAGACTAGTCTCCCCCCAAAAAAAATAAGTGAATAAGTTATACTGTAGAAGTCTATTATGAGAACATTGAGTACCAAAAAACAACAATCATTTGGAAGTACCAAGAGCTCCAAAGGAGCCTAGTGCATGCCACCTCTTTTCTTTGTAAAAAGTACATGGTCTCACCTCTGATACTTTGTCATAGCAAATAACAGAAAATTAAGACACCAAGATACATGGATACTAGAATTTAGGACATTACACTGCTTCAAAATGGAAGATTTTTTTCCAATGAAAAACTTGCAAAACAAAGACATCAGAGAAAAATTAAATATATTTATAGCCAAGAAAAATTAATTCATTCCATAGCATTCATAAGAACTATTCAGTAATGACCTGTTATATAATTATAATTTCAAATAGATGCCTGTAACTTAATTTACATACAGACACTAGGAAAACAATTCTTTAAAATACCATATGCAGGAACACAGTATTACTCAAGTCTCTTTGCTGTTACAGCTCACCTTGGATTAGAGTGAGGGAGATTTGGATTTGGATTTGCAGCCATGAAATTATTGTTTGTAAGGTTGATGGGTGGCATTATCATACAACCTCCAGCATATGGATCTTCTTTCATACCATTAGTGTTAGTGCTGGGATTGACAGAGTTTGGTGGTTCAATGATTACAGGTTTTGTATCTAAAGATGTAGCATGAGCATTGTCAACTGCATCCTGTTGACGATGAACACCTTCATATTCTAACTTTTTCAGTTCTGAGGTATCTCCTTTTCCTCCTTTGATTTTAAAAACCCTCACTCTAATGTCCTTACTCTTTTTCTCTTTTTCTGTTTCCTGGAACAGATTGAAAATCTGAGTGAGTCATCAGAACAGCTATTTTTATCTCTCCAGTGCTAACTAGAATATAGTTGAAATGAAAATTAACGTACCTTTCCAATGTGGGAATTATTTATCACTGTATTGTTAAGGTTTGTTTTTCTTTCTTCTCTCATATATTCATTTTCTTTAGGAATATCCTTTGTCTTCACAACTGAATTGAGTTTTGCTTCTTGTAGTAATTTAGCTCTCAGCTCTGGTAAGAATCTGAGAAAAACCAAACAATATCAAACAGTAAACTTTTCATTTATGTAAATACTTTTATCTCTACTGAACAATTTAATCAATTAATGTACATTTTAGGTACAGCATAAATAATGCTGTATAGTTATAATCCATGACAAGAGATGGCATAATTTGGTGATTTTTTTGGTTTTTTTTTTTTTTTGATCTGGTCGTGGGTCCTGAACTCTGGGCCTGGGCATTGTCCCTCAGCTTTTCAGCTCAAGGCTAGCACTCTACCACTTGAGCCACAGCGCCACTTCCGGCTTTTTAAAAAAAATTTTCTGCTTATGTGGTGCTGAGGAATCGAACCCAGGGCCTCATGCATGCAAGACAAGCACTCTACCACTGAGCTACCTTCCCAGCCTTGGGTGTTTTTTTTGGTGCTAGTCCTAGGCACTGTCCTTGGACTTTTGTGCTGAAGGCTAGTGCTCTACCACTTGAGCCACAGCACCAATTCCCAGCTTTTTTTGTTTATGTGGTGCTGTAGAATTGAACCGAGGGCCTCATGCATGCAAGACAAGCATTCTACCACTGAGCCATCTTCCCAGTCCCCATTTTCTGAAGGTTTAATAGTTTGAACTCAAGGCACTTTTACCGGTAATAGTAAAATCTTTTCTTTTTCTTTTTTTTTTTCTTTGTTGGTCGTGGGGCTTGAACTCTGGGCCTGGGCGCTGTCCCTGAGCTCTTCAGCTCAAGGCAAGAGCTCTACCACTTGAGCCACAGCTCCACTACCAGCTTTCTGGTGGTCAACTGGAGATAAGAGTCTCATGTACATTCCTTCCCCGGGCTAGTTTTTGAACTGCAATCCTTAGATCTCAGCTTCCTGAGTAGCTAATGTTACAGGTATGAGCCACTGGCTCCAGGCCATAATAATAAAATCTTAATATCTAAATACCAAAGGAATCATTTTAGTTTAATAGAGTTGATAGGACACAACTTTCTTATTTAGTTACTGATACTTATCAATGGCACTTTCATCAATAGAGTACCACCTCATTTTTTGGTTTTACAGCAAAATTCCTATCATTCTTGAAGTTCTAGTTACTTTCAAAGATCCACTTTCGGGGCTGGGAAGGTAGCTCAGTGGTAGGGTGCTTGCCTTACATGCATGAGGCCATGGGTTCAATTCCTCAGCACCACAGAAAAAGCCAGAAATGGCACTGTGGCTCAAGTGGTAGAGCACTAGCCTTTGTCTAAAGAGCTGAGGGACAGTGCCCAGGCCCAGAGTTCAAGCCCCACAACTGACCAAAAAAAAAAAAAATACACTTTACCCTATTCTACCTCTAATGGCAGTTCCCAGACTTTTCTATACCTAACTTTAATTCTATATCTATTTTATAACTAACCTTAAGTTGGTATTTGTTTTTCCAACTTCATGTCCATAGGTCAACTGAATGACTTTGCAATAAATGAGAAACTTTTCATTCTATATTTTTTAGCACTACAGAGGTTGGAACTTGGGGACTCATGCTAGTTAGACAGGTGTGTTCTACTCTTATGCTTTCAGCCCTTCCTGTTTCTTTCAAAACCCAAATATAAACATTTTTTAAAGAAGTATGACTAATTTCAATCAACACTGAGCATATAATAGACAGTGTGGCACCGAAAAAAGGGTTTTTCTGTGCTATCATGGGGCTTGAACTCAGGGCCAAGATGCTATCCCTGAGCATCAGTGTTGAAGGCTACCACTCTACCAACTAGGCTACAGCTCCACTTCTGGCTTTTTTTGTGGTTGACTAGAGAAAAGATTCTCATGGACTTTCCTGTCCAGGCTGGCTTTGAACTGTGAACCTAGGATCTCAGCCTTGTAGGCATGAGCAAACAAATGAGTAAATAAATGTTTACTAATTCGCATATTTTTGTTGTTACATTAATTTATTTAGGGGCTGGGAAGGTGGCTCAGTGGTAGAGCGCTTGCCTTGTAATGCATGAGGCCCTGGGTTCGATTCCTCAGCACCACATAAGAAAAAAGCCAGAAGTGGCGCTGTGGCTCAAGTGGTAGAGCACTAGCCTTGAGCTGAAGAGCTGAGGGACAGCAACCAGGCCCAGAGTTCAGGCCCCACGACTGGACCCAAAAAAGCAAAAAACAAAAACATTAATTTATTTAGCAATTCTTAGGCTAGCAATATTTCTTACTAAAAATACCACATTCATAATATGCTTACTTTTCAACAAATCCATCTCTAGTAAAATATTCATGATGCAAAAGATCATTAGATGATATCCTTTCAGCAGGATCAATTTGTAAACAAGCCTAGAAAAGAAAACAACATTTTAATAAATGAGTTGTTTTTATTCGCATATATTAGTTGCATAGAGGTGTTTTATTGTGACTTTTCACACACATAAAAATATATCCAAGTCAACCTTACCTATTAAAATAAGTGGGTTCTTAACAGGATATAAACTTTGATAAAGGATTAATTCCCCAGAGCTAAAAGACTTTCTGGAAAGATAGAATTAGATCTGATTATTTACTTCCCTAAGAAATTTGTACTTGTAAAGCTTTATTACTGGTTAAATGTTCTATGACTCTTGCCAAAACAAAGGTCAGTCTTTTTTTTTTCTACTATAAATGACAGAAATTGGGGGTTTAGAAGTATAGCTCAAAGGTGGAGGGTGGAGTTATTTGCTTAGTACATGCAAGACCCTGGGCTCTATCCCTAGCACTTTAAAAAAGAATAATGATACATAGAATTAACAGAAATTATTTAGTTATTTGATCCTTTTATCAGCCCAATGTGAGAAGTTGAGTTGCTTGCTCACTGTGCTGGCCTATTATTTGAGCTACTCTACCAGCACAGGACTTTTCTGCCCAAGATTGCTTGGAACCATGATCCTCCATTATCTCAGCCTCCTGAGTAACTAGTGTTACAGGAGTGAGCCACCAACACCTGACAACCTTTCTGTAATTGACTGAATGACTGATTGATTGCTGGTCCTGGGGTTTGAACTCAGGGCACTGTCCCTAAGTCTCTTTGTGCTTAAGGCTAATGCTCTACCTCCTAAGTTACAGTGCACCACTTCTGGGTTGTTTTTTTTTTTTTTTTTTGAGTAGTTTACTGGAGATAAAAGTTTCACAGGGACTTCTGCCCAGATTGGTTTCAAACCGAAATCTTCAGCTCTCAGCTTCCTGAGTAGCTAGGATTACAGGTGTGAGCCACCAATACCCAGCTGTTTTATTTTTGTTCTGGTTCTGGCACTTGAACTCAAAAACTGAAGGCTGTCCCTTATTTTTTTTTCCCTCTTAAAGCTATTACTGTACTACTTGAGCCACAGCTTCATTCCCAGCTTTTTGGTAAATTGGAGATAAGAGTCTCAAGGACTTTACTTCCTAGGCTGGCTTCAAAACCATGATAGTCAGATCTCAGCTTCCTGAGTAGCTAAGCTTACAGGCAGGAATCACTGCACTTTTCTGTAATTTTTCAACAAATGGAATTTCATTTAAGTAATATTTTAAAATTGAATTATGATTTATACACATTTCTCAGATACAAATGCTTAATCTGTTAACATACATGAACCATATCTGCCAACAACCCATTAAGCTTTGGGTATTTTTTCCTTGCATTTTGAGGGTGTTGAACTTGAGGAAGTATCACCCCATCAAAAATGGGACTCTTGGCAAAGATACTCTGCAAGTGAGGTGTCAAATTGCCTGAAAAGAGACAAATATGGATATAAGAAAAAAGAAAAATTAATATACAATCAAAACAATGAAATTGGTATGTGATCTACATTAGATTACTGAAAACAAAAAGAAGGAAGAGTAACATTTTTTTTTCTTTTGTGTCTTATCTGGGGCTTGAATGAAGGACCTGGGAGCTGTCTCTGAGCTTTTATGCTCAAAGCCAGTGCTCTACCATTTGAGCCACAGCTCCACTTCTGGCTTTTTTTGGTAGCTAATAAGAGTCAAATGGATCTTCTTGCCTAGGCTGGCTTTGAACTATGATCTTCAGATCTCAGGAGTAGCTAGCAGTAGCTAGGATTACAGGTGTGAGCTACCTGCACCCGGCATTTTTAGCTTTTTCTTTTTGGGGGAGAGGAGTGTTTAACACTGACCAAGAAAGTACCTGAATGTATTTATTTGTCTTGGTGCTTAAACTCAAGGCCAGAGTACTGTCCCTGATGTTTTTGCTCAAGGCTAGAATTATACTACTTGAGCCACAGTTTCACATCAAGATTTTTAGAGGTTAATTGGAGATAAAGAGTCTCATGAACTTTCCTACCTGAGTTGACTTCAAACCATATCCTCAGATTTCAGCCTCCTGAGTAGCCATCAGCACCTGGCTTTTTCAGTTTTGTTTTGTTTTTTAACATTGAACAAGAAGTACCTGACCATTCATTCATTTAATTAATTAATTGATCCTGAGGCTTGAACTGAGGGCCAGAGCACTATCCCTTGTGTCTTTTGCTCAAGGCTAGCACTCTACCACTTGAGCCACAGTTTTACATCAGGAGTTTTGGAGGTTAATTGGAGATAAAGAATCTGATGGACTTTCTTACCTGGGGTGACTCAAACTATGATCCTCAGATCTCAGCCTCCTGAGTAGGATTACAGGGATGACCCACTAGCACCTAGCCTAAACAAAAACTTAAATAGTTGGGTTGGATGAGATTTTTTTTTAATTTTTTATTTATTTTTGTCAGTTGTAGGGCTTGAACTCTGAGCCTGGGCACTATCCCTGAGCTCTTAAGCTTAAGCACTCTACCACTTGAGCCACAGTACCACTTCAGGTTTTCTAGTGATTTATTGGAGATAAGAGTCTCATGGATGGGGCTGGGAAGGTGGCTCAGTGGTAGAGCGCTTGCCTTGCATGCATGAAGCCCTGGGTTCGATTCCTCAGCGCCACATAAGGAGGGAAAAAAAGCCGGAAGTGGTGCTATGGCTCAAGTGGTAGAGCGCTAGCCTTGAGCTGAAGAGCTGAGGGACAGCGCCCAGGCCCAGAGCTCAGGCCCCATGACTGGACCCAAAAAATAAAAAAAAAGAGTCTCATGGACTTTCCTGCCCTGGCTGGCTTCGAACCGTGATTCTTAGATCTCAGCCTCCTGAGTAGCTAGGATTATAGGTGTGAGCCACCAGCACCGGTGAGATAGGTTTTTTTTTTAGAAGTTAGCTATATAAAACTTACAAGTAGTTGGAGATAAATAGTTTGTTATTTGCTAGGTGCTAGTGTCTCATGCCTATAATCCTAGCTATTCAGGAGGCTGAGATCTGAGGATCTAGGTGTAATGCCAGTCTGGTTAACCACCATTAAACTGTGGCTCAAAGTGGTAGAGTGCTAGCCTTGAAGCATAAAAGCTCAGGGATTGCTCCCAGGCCCTGAATTTAAGCCTCATGAAAGACCAAAGAATAAAAAAATTTAAAAAAATAAAGAAAAGGAAAAAGAAAATCTGTTAGTTGCTCAGAATCCTCATTAACAAAACAAAATACAGAGTTGATAGCCAGGTAAATAATTTATTCAATAATATATTTAAGTCAGACACCTTGCATTCATATACTGTTTTGTGGAATGGGAACTTCTTTGTACAACTACTTAAATATAATAATAAAAACTGTTAAAAAATCTAGATTCTTCATGCAAAATAAAAAGAATATATTTAATGACAAACTGAATATTGAAAATACAGTTGGTGAGAGTTTATTTGATGATATATTTTAACTATTCAAACATTTTTGTGGTTAGTCTTGCCCCTAGTGTAATTTAAAAAAAATAGTTCTGAGATGGACATAGGAATGAAGGGAAGAAGGATGAGCAAATGCAGTCATTATAGCAAATGTACATTATGTAAAAAATGAACTATGTAACTTGAGGGTAGGGACAATAGGGGGAAAATGAGGGGAATAAAGGAAGGAGTAACATTGACCAAGAAGCATTTTATTCATAACCTGACTTATAACCTCTTTGTACAACAATAATAATAATAATGATAATAATAAATTTTAAAAATAGTTCTGAATAAAGATCTTGAAGACCTCTTTGTCTGGTGGAAAAGCTATTCATAAACATGTAGTTTCAGGATTAGGAAGAAGTCCTTTGAACAATCTAAGTGAAATCTGGGTAAATACTGATTTTACAATATGTCAGAGTTTTGAGGCATCACATTTTTTTGTGTCTTGTTTAAAGTTCTGCTATGATATTGTTAGAAATGATTCTAGTTCTGTCATTTTACAGCTGAAGAAACTGTATCTCTAATTAACCATAAAAAGCCAGAAGTGGAGCTGACTCAATTGGTAGAGTGCTAGCCTTGAACAAAAGAGGTCATGGACAACAGCCATGCCCTGAGTTCAAGCCCCAATACTGGCATACACACAAAGAAAGTTCTTGTTCAGAAGTTCTTGTTTAGAAGTTCAAATAAGAGTTGGAGGCGTGGTTAAGTTGGTAGAGTACCAGCCAGTGAGCAAAAGCACTGAGTACTGAGTCCCAGTCTCAAACCTAAAAAGAAAAGTAGTGCAAATATTTGTAAAAGCTAGCTTGTTTTTTTTGCTTTTTCTGCAGTACTGAGGACTGCACTCAGGGTGTTGTGGGCTTTGCACTTGTCAAACAAGTGTTACCGCTTGATAAGAAATGTAGGGCTGGGAAGGTGGGTCAGTGGTAGAGCGCTTGCCTTGCATACATGAGGCCCTGGGTTCAATTCCTCAGCACCACATAAGCAAAAAGAAAAAAGCTGGAAGTGGTGCTGTGGCTCAGCCCATCTAATTGTAACCCCTCTGTATAGTATTTTCACAATAAAAAATAAAAATTAAAAAAAAACAAAAACAAGTGTTACCCAACCCCAAAGCTAGAATTTAAAATTGAAGTATATTGTTATTGTACTATTTTTCTTAGCATCAACATCTGCCTTCAATATTTGCATTTGCATCCTGGTAAATTAGATAGATAGGTAGGTAGATAGAAAAAGGTTTTGTGTGTGTGTGTGTGTGTGTGTGTGTGTGTGTGTGTGTGTGTGTTTCAGTCCTGTGGTTTGAACTCCTGTGGTAGATAGAAAAAGGGTGTGTGTGTGTGTGTTTCAGTCCTGTGGTTTAAACTCCTGTGCTGTACCTGAATTTTTTTGCTCAAGGCTCGTGCTCTATGATTTGAGCCACTTTTGGCTTTTTGTAGTTAACTGGAAATCAGAATCTCATGGACTTTCATGCCCAGGCTGGGTTCAAACACTGATCCTCAGATTAGCCTCTTGAGTAGCTAGGATTACAGGTGTGAGCCACTGGCACCCGAATCAGAAAATATTTTTTTGTAAAAGCAGAATCTTCTGGCTTCTTTATCACTACAGTGTCACCACCTATCAAAACAATGTTTCCTTATTCATATGCAGAAAAGCTAAACTTGAAAATCAAGCAGTATTGATCTGGCAATGTTTACTTTAGACACATAATAGATATTTCAGTATTACCTACCTACTTTTAAAACAATTCTATGAAGTAAATCCAAATCAGAACTGCTGGGAAGATAGGGATTTCCAGTGGCCATCTCAATGATCATACAGCCCAAAGCCCAAATATCCACAGGTCTGAAACAAACCAGAATGACTGTGTCATGCAGAAATATAATCTATTGTAGGGTTGAGGAGGTGGCTTAGTGGTAGAGTGCTTGCCTTGCATGCTTGAGGCCCTGGCTTCGATCCTCAGCACCACATAAGCAGAAAAAGCTGGAAGTGGTGCTGTGGCAGAATGCTAGCCTTGAGCTGAAGAGCTGAGGGACAGTGCCCAGACCCAGAGTTCAGGCCCACAACTGACAAATAAATAAATAACTAAAAAATATCCTTAAAAAAAAAAAAGAAATAGCTGGGCGCCAGTGGCTAGCTACTGTAATCCTACTGTAATCCATGCTACTCAGGAGGCTGAGATCTGAGGATTGCAATTCAAAGCCAGCCCTGGCAGGAAAAGTCCATGAGACTCTTATCGCCAATAAACCACTTAGAAAACCGGAAGTGGTGCTGTGGCTCAAGTGGTAGAGCACTAGCCTTGAGCTGAAGAGTTAAGGGACAGAGCCCAGGCCCAGAGTTCGAGCCCTGTGACCTACAAAAAAAGAAAGAAAGAAAGGAAGGAAGAAAGAAAGAAAGAAAGAAAGAAAGAAAGAAAGAAAGAAAGAAAGAAAGAAGAAGGAAAGATATAATCTATTTTAAAAATATTGCTAGCCAGGTGTGATGATACCTCCTGCCAGTAATCTTAGCACTTCGTTGTCTGAGACAGGAGAATTTTAAGTTCAAGGCCAACCTGGGCTACATAGTAAGTTCAAGGCCAAGGCCAGCCTGGGTTACATAGTAAGACTTTTCTCTCAATTTTTTTTTTTTTTTTGTAGTCCTGGGGCTTTAACTCAGGGCCTGGGCACTGTCCCTGAGCTTCTTTTGCTCAAGGCTGGCACTGTACCACTTTAGCCACAGTGCCACTTCTGGTTTTTTCTGTCTATCTGGTATGGAGGAATTGAACCCAGGGCTTCATGCATGCTAGGCAAGCACTCTACCACTAAACCACATTCCCAGCTGGTTATTTGTATTTATTTGTTTGTTTATTTAATCAGTTGTGCTTGAACTCTGGGCCTGGGCGCTGTCCCTCAGCTCTTTAGCTCAAGGCTGGTGCTCTACCACTTTGAACCACAGCGCCACTTCCAGTTTTCTGGTGGTTAATTGGAGACAAGAGTCTCACAGACTTTACTGACTGGGCTGGCTTTGAACTTCGATCCTCAGATCTCAGCCTCTTGAGTAGCTAGGATTACAGGCGTGAGCCACTGGTGCCTAGTCAGTTATTTGTATTTTAGATGACTGTTTTACATGAGGCCAAAATCATGATCCTTTTAAAGACATGAGTACAATTTAAAAGAGAATACCATTTTTTCAGGAAAGCAAATGAGTTTAAAATCTTTAAAATCTTTATAGGCTATAGAGGCTATAAGTAAACTGAGGAGGCAGCTCTGTCGGGGGTGTGGCACAGCTTAAAGCAAGCATGGACACATGTGAGGATGTTTACATAGGTCTCTTGTAGATGCAGCTACCTGAATCTGAGTAAATCGTAGCAACAGCAGCCAGTGGTACACGGTCTACAAGGTTTTGCAGTTACAGATAGTCGTTAGCCTGTTCTAAGTCCCAACCCAGATACAGAGAGAAAAAGAAAGGTGTAGGAAAAAGAGAGATTCCAGGGAAAAGGCCAAGTAGGTTACCCAAAACAAACATACTTTCCATAAGTCGTATCTTTTAACACTAGTTCTGGAGCTCTATACCAGCGTGTAGCCACATAGTCTGTATAAATGTCCCCGGGACCTGCTAGTGTTCGTGCAAAACCAAAGTCACAGAGTTTAGTAATTCCTGACTGGGATACTAAAATATTTTCAGGTTTTATGTCTCGATGAATAATCTAAAAAAGAAACAGAAAATGAAATTATATTAAAAATGAGTTTTGTTTCTAGAAAATCTCTCAGAAATTATACAGAGAAAAAAATCTAGCTAATTAAGATAGAGAAGCTATATTCATGCCATATGTAAATGTAATTACATACTTTCAATTTTTGTCCTAGCTATCCCTCCAAAATGAAATGAAGCTGAGTGCTGGTGGCTGGCACCTGTAATCCTAGCTACTCAGGAGGCTGAGATCTGAGGATTTTGGTTTGAGAATCCTGCCTGGGCACCAAAAAAGCTGGAAGTAGAGCTATGGCTCAAGTGGTAGAGCATTAGCTTTGACAAAAAAGCTCAGAGACCACTCCCTGGCCCTGAGTTCAAGCCCCATGATCAGCACACATACACACATTGTCATTGGCAGATGCTCGATACATATGTTGAGTAAATGAATACAAAAAGAAATAAATATTTCTTCCCCATAAAGTGGCCAAAACTTGCACTTATATAATGGCTGCTTTTAGCTAGGAATTGAACCCAAGGCTTTATACAAGCTAGGTGAGCATTCTACCACTGTGCTAAGTCCCCAAGCTCCCCAGATATCTATATTTTTTGCCAGTCCTGGGGCTTGAACTCAGGGCCTAAGCACTGTCCCTGAGATTTTGCCCAAGGCTAGCACTCTATCGAGCCACAGAGCCACTTCTTTTCTGGTGGTTAATTAGAGATAAGAGTCTCATGGATGTTCCTGCTTGGGCTGGCTTTGAACCACGATCCTTTGATCTCAGCCTCCTGAGTAGCTAGGATTATAGGCGTGAGCCACCAGTGCCCGGCAATACATTATTGTAATTATCACATGATACAGCCTTGGTTCTAGCTGGCAAGAAAATTCCAATCTGAAATTTCAGTGGCTTTCACAACCATTTTTTTCTCTCCCCTCACTTTTTTTCTATTTTATTTTATTTTATTTTGTCAGTTGTGGGGCTTGAACTCTGGGCTTGGGCGCTGTCCCTATGCTCTTCAGCTCAAGGTGAGCCCTCTACCACTTGAGCCACAGCGACACTTTCCCCTCACTTTTTTTTTTAGCATCGATTAATCCTATAAGGGAGCTTCATTCTTACATGTCCATAAACACATACAATGTACCTTTACTAGACATCCCCGCTACCTCATAATCATCTCTTTGATAATACATTTTAGTATCCTATACTTGCCTTATAGTTAATTATGTTCTCAAAAAATGTTTCTTGGTTCTGTAACTAAATTTGACCCTCCCCATATCCATGTTCAAGATGCTATTAAATACTGTACAGAAAAAGAATCTTAACAACTTTCATAAAAGTAACCATGATATTTAAATAGCACTAGAATTCATATTTATCCTAGCTTGGCTTACTATGAGGCACTTACATTATTATTGTGAAGATAATCAACTGCTCGAAGGATCTGAAAGAGGTATTTTCTAAGTCGTTTACTCTCTAGTCCATGACAATAATGTTGTAACTCATCTAATACTGTGTGGTCAATAAATTCAAACACCAAGTGAATTTTCCTTTTCTGTTTAAAAACTTCAATAAGATTGACCAGGTTTTCATGACGAAATTGCTATTAATGACAAAAAACAGATTTTAATAAATCATATCAAATATAACTTGTATATATAACATCTACATAATTTTAAAAGGAAACAAATATTCTCAGCTCCTTTCTTCCATGGATATCAACAGAAAATTTTCAATTGATACACATTCCTTTTTTTTTTTTGTCAGTTGTGGGTCTTGAACTGTGGTCTGGGTGCTGTCCCTGAGCTCTTAAGCTTAAGGCTAGCACTCTACCACTTGAGCCACAGTGCCACTTCCAGTTTTCTGGTGGTTAATTGGAGATAAGAATCTCATGGAGGGCTGGGAAGGTAGCTCAGTGGTAGAGCACTTGCCTTGCATGCCTGAGGCCCTGGGTTCGATTCCTCAGCACCATATAAGCAAAAAGCAAAAAGCTGGAAGTGGCGCTGTGTGCTAGCCTTGAGCTGAAGAGCTGAGGGACAGCACCCAGGCCCAGAGTTCAGGCCCCATGACCGGACCCCAAAAAAAAAAAAAAAAGAAGCTCATGGACGCTTTTGCCAGGGCTGGCTTTGAACCATGGTCCTCAGATCTCAGCCTCTTGAGTAGCTGGATTACAGGTGTGAGCCACCGGCACCAGGCCATTCCTATTTTTTAAATTATAAGTAAGGTGACATTTGATTTCTTATTAAAATTAACTTAAAGCTAGTATCTTGTAATTTGGTATGCTGCTGAGAAATATCTTGATATCTTTTAACTTGGCTTGTGGTTAAATTTAATATCTGAAATTTTTAAAGTCCTTATATTTTTCTTGTTACTTTTACAGTTGGTGTTGTCATTTGGTGTTTTGACACAGGGTCTTGCTATGTAGACCAGGCTGGACAGAAACTCACAATCCTCCTGCCTTCACCTCTCCAGCATTGGGACTGCCCATTTATTTTGTTTTCTGCTAGGGTTTGAATCCAGAGGCTTCTTTCTACATGCTAAGCTAGGTTATACCTCCAGACTCTAGCAAGCTATTTGAGGTATTTGAAAACAGGTCTGTGTTTTTAAATGAGCATGAATTCCAACATTACTCATTGTATGGTTTAAACTTGCACAAATTAATTCTCTAATTTTGGTCCTAAACTCTAGTGAACAAACCATTAGTTCTAGGTGGCATTATAAATTCATTAGATTATAACAAGAGAATATAAAAATATGTAGAAAAATTTCAGAAATGTGAAATATCAAAACAGGTAAAAAAGTAAGAAATTATCTTTGATAATTTTCATTTATTGTCTGTACTATTCTCCCTAATAACAAAACAACTTTTATCCCAGCCACTAAGAAGGCTGAGGATAGGAGAACAGGATCTTGAGGCCAGCCTGAGAGGGATCTTTAAAACATAAACAAAGATGACAATAACCAAAAAGACCCTGCAGGTACTGGCAATTCCTTGTTAAAAATAATTGTGAAATGTCAAAAATGTGCATGACTATCAGCTTGGGAAAAAAAATGTGCTTACCATTTTATGTTGTGTGTTCAATTTTTTCCAACACTTTGACCTTACTAGAATCAATTCCGAGATAATCATCCATTTTTCCAAATTACAAGAAAAAAAGTATTTGGCTACAAATAATGGATATATTTTCAGTATTGAATTCATTCAAAAATTATATTTTCATTAACATTTTTCTTGCCTTTATTCTAATGGCACAGTATCAATTTTTCTTCTTTTCTATGACTAATGGAGACTAAAATCCTTGTAATATGACTAATAGAAAAAATATGCCAAAATATAATGCCAGATTCTTTTCCTATTTTTGCTCCTAATTTTCCTTTTCAGCAAGATGCTACAGGGCTGCAGTAGTAAAATCCTAGTAGCACTAAAAAGAACTGACTGCTTTGAAACACCATGGTATTAATCCTCTACCTAAGGAAAAGTCCCCGCTTCCTGTTTAGTCTTTGTTTTAAAGGCAAAAGCATTGAAAGTAATGAGTATGTATTAGTGAAGATTCACAAAGGGCTTATAAGGAATTAGGTATTTTTCTCAGATAAACCATGAAACTCTTGGAAATGCTCCATTATCTCTTTTCAAGTTGTTTTTATTTTTGCTTTTCTCCATCACTAGACAAGCTCTACAGCTATTCATACTACTTATGCTGTATAATTTAATAAACTACTAACAAAAATTTAAGTCAAATGAGCCATTTTGGCAATCTTTTTAGATGAAAAATAATCTGATTATGAAGAAAGTACTTTTCTATCTGATAAAGATGCACAAAAAAGCACCTGTTTTCTTCATTGTACAGACTACCTTGTCAAGACCATAAAACTTAAAGCATTTAGATCAATTCCAATAAATAGAATATATACACACAAGTATTTTTCAGTCACTGGTTTTGTACCCAATCTCCATAGAATGTTAATGCATCTTTGTCAGATCTTTTCCCTAAGCTGATCTCACATGCCTACACTGCCCTGACCTTCCAGGTATTGTTACTTATCTGTAAGAGCCTACTAGGTTCTCTCTAGTTAAACAATTCTGATATCTTAAATTCATCATTCCCAAAAGTGAACTAGTTCCCAAATATCCCTTCAAATTCCCATCAATTGCAGCAGTCATTGATCTTCAAACATTCCTTTGACTTGCCTATGTTTCTACACTCTCCCATGTTTTCTTTTGTATCATGTTTTAAGTGTATTTACATTCATATTGCTGCATTTTGGAAAGGGCTTTCAAGATATTTGCCATAATTTGTGGATTAAAACAGACTGCACTATTTCACAGCATTTGAATATATTTTAGACAAGGATGCTAGACAAATAATTTTCATTTCTTTACATTGATTTCAAACTTAATTTTCTTATAAAATCAAGTTCTGCCTCATTATCCTAAAAGACTTTAAAATCAGTCAGGTGCTGGTGGCTCATGCCTGTAATCCTAGCTACTGAGGAGGCTGAGATCAGAGGACTGTGGTTTGAAGCCAGCCCAGACAGGAACGTCCATGAGACTCTTATCTCTAATTAACTATTAGAAACAGTCAGAAGTAGAATGATGGTTCAGTGGTAGAGGACTAACCCTGTGCAAAAAGCAGCTCAGAGACAGAGCCCAGTCCCTGAGTTCAAGCTCCAGAACTCTCTCACACCAGAAGGAACACACACACACCTTTAAAATCGATCTCCAATTTACTGAAACTTCATAAGAAACTCTATAAGACTCTACAAATGTCTTTTTTTCTGCTTTAGTCATTTTGTTACCGTAACGTAAAACTTGTTTCTCCCTCTTACCCTAATCCTACACATCCTTTAAAGCCAAATCCATGTCCCACTTGACTTCCAAGAAACTTTCCAGCCAACAGGACTTTGTCAGTCAACTTGGGACTTATGAGTTTCATTTATCTTTTTTCTTTTGGTCAGGTGTGGGGGTCTGAACTCTGGGCCTGGATGCTGTCCCTCAGCTCTTCAGCTAAAGGCTAGCACTCTACCACTTGAGTCACAGCGCCACTTCCAGCTTTTTCTGCTTATGTGGTGCTGAGGAATTGAACCCAGGGCCTCAGGCATGCAAGGCAAGTGCTCTACCACTGAGCCACCTTCCCAGCCCCATGAGTCTCATTTTCTATCTACCTTTCTGTCTTTCTGATGAAATCATAAACGTCCTTAAGCCTTTTTAGTTCTCAGCTTATAACACATTACCTTGCACAAAGCAGACTTTAAATAAAAAAAAAATACTAGTCCTGGGGCTTGAACTCAGGGCCTAGGCACTGCCCCTGAGCTTCTTTTGCTCAAGGCTAGCACTCTACCACTTGAGCCACAGTGCCACTTCCAGCTCTTTCTGTGTATGTGGTATGGAGGAGTTGAACCCAGGGCTTCATGCATGCTAGGCAAGCACTCTACCACTAAGCCACATTCACAGTCCTATGTGGAGCTTTTTGGTGGCTAGTTGGAGATAAAAGTCTCATGAAAGTTCATGAGTCACTGGCAACAGGCCATTTTCATTAATATTATACCTGAATATTCCTGAATGACTTCACAAGTTGGCCAAAATATTACATTCTACATTCCCATGCACCTCTTTTAACACTATAAAAATACAAAAATGTAAAGATTTTTAAGGGTGAACATCTTAGTCCATTAACTGAAATATTTACATATATGTTTATTTAAATTTATAGATTTTGAGGATGGAGAATACGAGGTCAGCCTGGGCTACGTGGAGACCCTGTCTTAGAAAACAGATTAAAGCAAAAGAAGCAAACCTTTAGAAACTTTATTTCTCTCGTGGCAATCTTGTTGACAGATTTTTCGGGTTTCTCATAGAATATCTTAATGGCCACTATCTGCCCCGTATCTTTGTGTTTACATTTCATGACTGTTCCGTAACTTCCCTCTCCCACTTTTCCAAGGGTTTCATACATCTCCATTTTCAAGCCTTGCTTCTACTTCAGAAAAATAAAAAAATAAAAAAAAATTAAAAAATAAAAAAGGGAAAACGTTAAACCTTGACACTTTTATTGATTGAAGCTGGACAGGGTATAGACTCATCTCCTACTTTTAAATCTAAATATAGAAAACAGGAAATTTTGTCCATGGAATAAGGTATAGACTCAATAAATTCTTTGAAATACAGGAACATGGGGGGGAAGAAATAATGTTCTTGTCCACAGAACCCGGGGGTCGGTGGGAGCTCTGCCACCTCGGCTCTAGGGTGCATGTGGAGGCCCCAGTCCTCACCATTAACACGGGGTCCCTCTCCGTCACTTCACCGCCCCCCCCTCCACCCCCGACGGAGATCCCCTCACTAGCGATCAGCACCACCAAGCACCCCACATTTCCTGTCAGGTCGGGTCCAGTCAGGGTTCCCCACCACAGCAGCCGCCCAAGACACAGGCCCCGAGAGCTCCCGAGGCCTGGTCCCGCCCTCTCCTCAAACCCCACGTCTAAGAAGCCCGGACCCGACCCGTGGCGCTCCCCTCGCCCCACAGTCGACTTCCGTCCAGGCAGGCGCCGCCGCCTCAACCCATTCCGTAAGCCCCGCTGGCCTGGCTCGGCGAAGTCCCAAGCGGGACACCGGACACCGACACTACTACACGGGCCAACTCCGCCGGCTCCCGGCTGCCGGCTCCCATAGCAACGGTTGGGGGGCGGGGGGGAGGTGGAGGCTGCGCAAGGCGCCAGTACGCAAGACCGGAAGAACGGCGGGTCCTGACCCGGAAGTGAAAGGCGAAGGAAGTAGAAAGTGGCTCCAGGTAGGCGCTCAGTGGAAACGTGCTCAGGGTGGGGTGGGAGAGGGGATTGGCTGTCGCAGTTTGAGCTTCCCGAAAGGTTGGTTTTGAACCCCTCCCCCCCCACGGGATGTCTGCATTGCTTGGGGGAGAAAGGAAACCGAGGTAGAAGCATGCCCGACCCCTGTGGCAGAATGCACAGCAACACCTTGTGCGCTCCCCTCGTCATCAAACAAGACAAGTGGAAAGACTAGACTTGAAGACAAGCCTTGGTGTTGGGCTGGGATGTAGCTTACTAGCAAAAAGGCTTGTCTCCCAAGTGCAAGGTCCTGGGTTCGATCCCCAGTACCCAAAAGGAAAAGACAAAAGATACAGAATCAAATCTGGTGCCTACAGTTTCCCCAGTACCCTGTAGTCCTCAATTCATCCCCAACAGGCACAAACCCTTCTTGAACATCCTCAGTTTGCCTTTTAGATATTTCCAGCTCCCAAACTCTATGGGCTCTAGAAAATAATTCAGAGGGTCTTACAACATATGTAGTGATTTCTTAGGGCACAAGATGTGTGTGTATGGTGTGTGTGTGGGGGGGAGTTGTTTAAGGTGATGAGAATTAGCTGTAGTGTCAGCCTCCAGTGAAATAACGATATCACTAGAGCTGGTGCTCCAGGAGTGCTGTCTCTATTTAGAGATTTTACCTTTTTTCTATAAAGTATTAAATGTAAAATGTGAAATCTTGCCAAGTCTTGTTCAAACTATGAAGAAGAATGATATTATTGTTATTTAAATCCAATGAGTCTCATCCCAGTACAGATATTAAAGTCACACCTGGAAGGCTTTAAAACTGCCCTGCTCAACTGGGCACTGGTGGCTCACAACTGTAATCCTGAGATGTCAGGATCAAGATCTGAAGCCAACCTTGGCTGGAAAGTCAATGAATCTTATCTCCAGTTAGCCACTAAAAAAAGCCTGGAGCTGTGGCTAAGCACTACAGCTTTGGGACGGGGCCCAGGCCCTGACTAACAAAAATAAAACAAAACAAAATGATAGTGAGAGGGAGCCTGAGAACAAGTAACTTGTCTTTTTGTTGCTGTTGTGTATCTGCAAGTAATGCCAGCATAAATAATGTGCACTGGGACTGGCTGTAAGTTTAATATATTCTTAGTATTTTAAGTATTTGAAAGGGGGGAAATGCATAAACCAGACTGAGTCCCTACTCTGGCTGAACTCAGCATAGAGTACTAAATTGCTACAACATAAAATTATAGGTTTAAGACTGTTCTTTCCACAAATAGGTTTATGTAGTAAGCTTCAAGGCCAGGGCATTGCTATACTTAATTCAGCTGTGGAATCACCTCTCATTGAGTTTGTCAAAAGTGTTTTATCCATGCTAGGTATCAGGTTTGCAATCCTAGCTACTTGGAAGCTGAGAGCAGAGGATGCTGTCAAAGCCTGGAGGACAGTGCCTTGGCCCTGAGTTCAAGCCCCAGGACAGGCACAGAAGAAAAAAGTGTTCATTTATTTTGGAAAATAAAACGGAACATTTCTAAAAGTTATAAATTGTTAAACATTATAGAAATATAGATATCTAGATCTACGTATATATGTCTATAGCTATATATCTTAAAGTCTTCCTCTTCAGCTATAGGATGGATAAGGATTGTTATGACTGGTAGGCAAAAATTAAAGGTAAGGGGCTGTACATGGTGGCACATGACTACTCCTGGCCCTCAGCCTGAGCAAGTTAGCCAGACTGTCTAAAACTAAATTTTACAAAAAGGCTGAGGAGGGTTGGGAAGGTGGCTCAGTGGTAGAGTGTTTGTCTTGCATCCATGAGGCCCTGGGTTCGATTCCTCAGCACCACATAAGCAGAAAAAGCCAGAAGTGGCACTGTGGCTCAAGTGGTAGAGCACTAGCTAGCCCTGAGCTGAAGAGCTGAGGGACAGTGCCCAGGCCCGAGTTCAGGCCCCATGACTGGCATAAAGAAAAAAAAAAAAGGTTGAGGAATGTAACTCAGCAGTAGTGTGTGCCTCACATGTCTGAGGTGCTAAATTCAATCTCTATTACCTTATAAAAAGTAAAAAGAAAATAATAAAGATAGGAATTATTAGCTTTGATTTAGAGAATCACACAGTGAATATGCAATCATCCTGGGGGCAAGAGTTGGGCAATGTTAAGGCCCTCCTTCCATTTTCCCTTCTAGGGCTGAACAATTCCCTGTATGTCCTATGAAAGAAAGTGCTGCAGCCAGGCATTGGTGGATCATGGTTAGATTTGGGGATCCTGGTTCAAAGCCAAGTTAGGCAGGAAAGTCCAACTATCCACCATAAAGTCAGAAGTGGAGCTGTATCTCAAGTGTTAGCATGCTAGTATTGAGCAAAAAAGCTTAAGGACAACAGCCAGGCCCTGAGTGCAAGCCCCAGAACTGGTACCAAAAAAAAAAAGCTGCAGCCTACCCTCCCTCCCGCCAACAGAACTTATAGGAAAGTTTCAAAGTCAACACTTCTGAAAACCCTACTGGAGACACTTGAGGTCCACTTGCACTTTGCTGGTATAAAAAGCCTGAAGTAAGTTACCTGTCTAGATACATAACTCCACCCATGTCTGGGCTCTCTCACTCCCCAGATCTGAATCACTTTTGTGTTTTGATAACTTCCCATCGATTATGCACTGAGATCACACCCTGGCCTTTCTTGACCCGTAGGTACTTTACCCTAGATAGGTTCACAGAGTGACCTACCCTAAGTAAGTCCACAGATTCACCTTTAGCCTCGAACAAAATAAGACCCTACACTGTTCAAAAAGAAACGTACTTATTACCTGATTTATATTATTGTAACCCCTCCGTACATCACCTTTTCAATAAGTTTTTTTTTTTTTTAACAAAGGGGTGGGGGGAAGGCCCTAAAGGAAAACAAAAAAAGAACCTCTAGTTCCGTGGGCTATTTGAACAAGACCAGGTCAATCTGTCATCTCTGCCCGATCCTGGAAACTCCACTCAAATGGGAGGCACAGACTCTACTTGGTGGCCTTAAAGCATGATAGAATTTTAACTTCGGGCCTGGGAAGTCAATGCTACTTTTATTCCCCTCTCCCCTCCCGATCCTCCCCACCAAAAATGGATAAACCACTTGGACATAGATTAAGTCCAATTTTTTTTTTAATTGTTTTGGTTCCCTCTTATACAAAAGAGGAAAACCAAATGGTTTGCTTCCACCACGACTCCTTCGGGGCCAGCGTCCCCCGCCCTGCACCCGGGACAAACCAGGAGGACAACTTCACAAAGGTGGGGCTCCCAACCCGGGCCGGGTAAACTCTGAGATCCGGGCGACGCTCTCACGTGACCCGTTCTACGCGCGTCACAGGGACACGTGGTTCTGGACATTTCGTTCCCCTCCCTCCCCACCCCCAACCCCCTCAGAGGAGGGGGGGGGGAGGGTGGATTGTTGACAAGGCCGCGAGCGGTCACGTGACATCGCGTCATTTTCTCCCCCCCCCACTCCCTCCCACCTCCTTTCCCTGAAATCTCGGGTCCGGATGCGTCCTTTCTTCCTCTCTCCCCATCCCGCCGAACCGAAGACAGTGACGGGGTGGGGAGAGACCAAGGAAGCGTCCCGGTTTTGGCGTCTCCCGGCTCCCAGCCTCTAAGAACCGGTCACCAGGGCACACGAATCTTTGCCGTTTAACTCCAGCAGCCCAACATGGAAGCCGCCCTAGCCTAAGAAGTACCCGGAGCGGGCGGGCGTCCAGACGCCCCGCCTACCTCCCACCTCACTGGCTCGGTGGTAGCGGCGGAGGGCGGAGGGATCTGGAGGCGGCGGAGGGAGACGTCATTGCAGGGTTGTTTGTGCAGTCTCGGCGGCGGCGGCGGCGGCGGCGGTGACCCACAGTGATTCGGCCGCGGCGCCGGGGGGTGGGGGGGGGCTGCGCGGGACTCTTTTCTTTCAGACTGACCGCGGGGGAGCTGGGGAAGCATGTCGACCCCGGCTCGGAGAAGGCTCATGCGAGATTTCAAGCGGTAAGGGCCTTCACCTTTCGTCAAGATGACGGCTTTCTCCCCCCCCCCCACCCTGCGCGGGGCTGCAGGGCCGGGCGGGCGGGCGGGGGGTTCCGGACACCTTCCCTTCAGGACCCCCCTCAAGCGGAGGAGGGCGGCTGGCGGGAGGCGATGGGCCTATGGGGGGGGGTCTGCGGACGGGGTGAGGGGAGGTCGACGCAGGCCCGGCTCACTCTGGCAGCGGGCAGCTCTCGGTGCTGTTCCTTCTCTCTTAAGTAAAAAAAAAAAAAAGGTGGCGTTCGGCTGCCTTTCGGGGTGCCCGCGGGCCCTTGAGGGCCGGATGCTCGACGTCTCGGCCCCAGCACTCAAACCTCACCCCCCCACACACACCCCTGTACTCCGCGGCACCCCCCTCCTTGATCCCCTAAAATGGAGCTCTGTGGATGGGTTTAGGCCTCGCCTGCAGCACCGATCAGCTTTGTTAAAAAGCCCCGCGGAGCTCCTCGGTGGAACCAGATTGAGGCGAGCTCCCCCCTCCCTCCCCTTCCACCCCCA